TTTGTGTTTAATTTGCTTTTCTTTTTCTGGTTTCCTAAGGTGAAAGCTGAGATGATTCATTTAGACCTTTATTATTGTCTTTTCTTTTTTTTATTTTTCAGAGACAGGGTCTCTGTCACCCAGGCTGGAGTGCAGTGGCATGATCATAGCTGACTGTAACCTTGAACTCCTGGGCTCAAGTAATTCTGTTGCCACATCATCTCAAATAGATAGGACTATTTTGTAGAGACAGGATCTTGCTATGTTGCCCAGGCTGGTCTTGAACTTCTAGCCTCAAGTGATCCTCCCACCTTGGTCTCCCAAAATACTGGAATTACAGGCATGAGCCACCATGTTCTTTTCTAATCTACACATTCAGAGCTATCAGTTTCCCTCTGAATACTGCTTTTGCTGCACACAAATTTTGACAAGTTCTGTTGTCATTTTTATTTTGTTCAAAATATTTTTTAAATTTTCTTGAGAGTCTCTTTTAACTCATATGTTATTTAGAAGTGTGTCTTTAATTTCCACATATTTGGGGAATTTCTCATTGTGTAATATTTTGGTTATTGACTTCTAGTTTAATTTTATTGCAGTTTGAGAGCAGATGTATGATTTCTTTCTTTTTTTTTTTTTTGAGACGGAGTTTCACTCTTGTTACTCAGGCTGGAGTGCAATGGCGCGATCTCGGCTCACCGCAACCTCCACCTCCTGGGTTCAGGCAATTCTCCTGCCTCAGCCTCCTGAGTAGCTGGGATTACAGGCACGTGCCACCGTGCCCAGCTAAGTTTTTGTATCTTTAGTAGAGACGGGGTTTCACTATGTTGACCAGGATGGTCTCGATCTCTTGACCTCGTGATCCACCCGCCTCGGTCTCCCAAAGTGCTGGGATTACAGGCTTGAGCCACTGCACCTGGCCCCAGATGTATGATTTCTACTCTTTAAAATTTCTAAGGAGTGTTTTGTGATAGAAGATGATCTACCTTGGTGAATATTTTATGTGAGTTTGAGAAGAGTATATTCTGCTGTTATTAGGCGAAATATTCTATACATGTTCATTATATACAGTTGATTAATAATGTTTTAAAATTTAATTATGTCTTTAGTAATTTTCTGCCTGCAGGTTCTGTCCGTTTGTGGTAGAGAGATGTTAAAGTTTTTAACCATAATAGTGAATTTATTTATTTCTCTTTGCATTTCTATCTGTGTTTTCCTCATAGCTCTGATGTCTGCTCTGAATTCATGTATCTACTCCTGCTTTCTCTTGACTAATGTTAGCATGGTATATTTTTTCTATTTATTTACTTTTAATCTACATGTATCTTTATATTTAAATTGGAGTTTTAGCAAACAATATATAGTTGAGTCTTGTTTTTTGAGCCACTCTGCCAATCTCCGTGTTTTAATTGGTGCATTTAGATCATTGATCCGTCAAGCAATTATTGACATAGTTGGATTAATATCTTTTTAAACTTGTTTTCTATTCGTGCCCTTGTTCTTTGCTTCTATTTATGAATTCTATCTTTTCTGCTCTTTTGTGGCTTGGATTTATTTTTTATTGAACAGAGTGAACAAGAAGTTGTTGGTTCCTCAAAATCAATTATTACTTTTGTATCAAACTCGAAAATGAAAACTAAACTTTAAATTTTATCAGCTTGTACTTGGCATGTACTCGTTTCTAGGCACTGCCCTTTACATCAAGCCGTCGGGTTTTCTCTCTGTCTAGTTCCTATTTTCTAGTTTGGGTTTTCATGAAGTTTTTAAATCTTCGTGGTTATTATTGATATTCTCAATTTTTACTATGGAAATGAGGCATTATTGATAGTAGCATATTTAAAAGAATTTCTATGGTGATTAGAAAATTCTTCTATTTTGTAATATGGTGTTATTTTTACCTAGAAAAAAACCTGCGATCTGGGTTTCCCCTCAGTGACTTCATTGGCTTCTCAGCCCTTCCATTATTTCCCCTGCAGCCATTCCCCAACTCTAAATTACTCTTGTCTAGGGAAATCAAACAACTCAACAAGAAGAAGCACAAATAGCCTCACTGAAAAGTGGGCAAATGACAGGAACACATATTTTTCAAAAGAAGACACACAAATAGCCAACAAGCATTTGAAAAACTGCCAAATATCACTCATTAGAGAAAAGTCAAATTAAAGCCATAGTGAGATGCCATCTTACAACATTAAAACAATACGTTGGTGAGGATGTGGAGAAAAGGGAATGCTTTACACACTGCGATGGGAGTATAAATTAGTACAACCTCTATAGAAAACAGTATGGAGACTTTTCAAAGAACTAAAAACCGATGTACCATTTGAGCCAGTCATCCCGGTACTGGGTATCTACACAAAAGTACAGTAATGATTACATCAGAGTATACCTGCACTCTCACGTGTGCTACTCAGAACAGCACAGATGTGGAGTCAACCTAAGTGTCCATCAAAAGGATAATTGGCTCAAGAAAATGTATATATATATATATATATATATATATATATATATATACACACACATTTCTTTTATAGCTAAGAAAATACTCAGCTATAAAAAAGAATGAAATCATGTCTTTTTCAGAAACTTAAGTGGAACTGGAGGCCTTTATTTTAAGTAAAATAACTCAGAAACAGAGAGTCAAATACGGCATGTTCTCACAGTGGAAGCTAAACAATGTGTGCACATGGACACAGAGGGTGGAATAATAGACACTGAAGGCTTGGAAAGGTGGGAGGCTGAGGTGAAGGACGAGGAATTAACTATTTATCAACTAAAATCCCAGCCTTCACCAACACATAATTACCCATGTAACAAACGGCACTTGCAACTTCTAAATCTGTAAAAATAAAAATTAAATTGTCCTTATTTAAAATGCAGTAGGAGGTGTCTGGTTTTTTTTTTTTTGGTTTTGCTTTTTGACAAGATTGTGATATACACACTCTGTGTAATGATATCGTAGGAGTCACATCTCTGGATCTAATTTTTCTGGGTCATTTCTAAGCATTGCAGATTATGATTCTGTTTTAGACTGAAAATACTAAACTACACAGCTTGCATGATATTTGAGAATGAAATAATATTTTCCCTAAGAAAGGATATTTTTTCTTATAGAAACACAAAGCAGTATAACGTTGATAATTAATTCTAATATGCATTGGGAACACATGCATAGGTAGATGGAAAGTTTGATGAAATGCTACCATGTGATATATGATTTTCACATATATCTCATTTATTCTTGCAACAACGCGACAGGATATTATGTAACATAACTTGCTGTTATGAAATCTGTAAAATAGCTACAAACCAAAGCCAAGGCTGTCTGAGTCCAAAGTCTAGACCATTTCTACTCTGTAAAACTATTTCTTCTGCAGAGAAAATATTTAAAACAACAGTGACAGAATATGAATGTTCAATATGTATAATATGGAAATTTGTCGCCTTTTTTTTCTTTATTTTTCTTGCTACATTAGAAAAACTCCTTGCAGCATTCTATGATTAATGTTTCCTTTCCCTCTAGGAAAGAGGATAGAGCAAAACAAGTTTTGTTTTATTAATGATTTGAGTTCTGGATTGAATAAATTTTAAACATACAATATGAAATTAAAAGAGATGATGTATTTTGGGACGAGGATGAGTTAGAGGTAGAATGACGTAAAGATAAAAGAAAGAAGTGAAGGAAGTTTATCAGGCATGAAACAGAGCCTGGGGTGTGACGAGGGGAAGATTTCCAAGTGGGAGGAGCGACTGATTAGCGAGTCCAGAGGTGTTTCCCAGGGATGAGTGATGTAGGTCAGTGAGGAGGTTGAAAAACAAATTGTCTGTGCCTGGTAAGGGCAGAAGTACAAGTTCACTGGCCTGTGCTAACAATCTTGTTCCTTATGAAAATACAATCTACAGAGAACTTTGTTAACCTGGATATGAGGCAGGCATCATGCTGATTCACTAAATGATGACATTGTCTTTAGGAGCCTTAAGAAAGTGCAAATAACCCAGAATGTCCTGGAAATAAACATGCATCATGGAAGATGGGAGGTGAACCTCGTGGAGAATCAGGGGCTTGACAAATTGATGTTCTTAGAGGATCGAGGCACGCCACACGGGTAGAGAAGTGGTTGCTTGTTGCACCTGCAGTCACTAAGACAGAGGCCCAGATCTTCATGGGTTTTGGAGGTAGCATCATTTATTGGGTGATATGGTTTGGCTGCGTCCCCACCCAAATTTATTTATTTATTTATTTATTTCTCTCTCTCTCTTTCTTTCTGTCTTTCTTTCTTTTTGAGACAGAGTCTCACTCTGTCACCAGGTGCCAGGCTGTAGTGCAGAGGTGCGATCTTGGCTCACTGCAACCTCTGCCTCCCAGGTTCAAGCAATTCTCCTGCCTCAGCCTCCCAAGTAGCTGGGATTACAGGCGTGTGTCACCATGCCCAGCTAATTTTTGTATTTTTTTAGTAGAGACGGGGTTTCACCATGTTGGCCAAGGTGGTCTCGATCTCCTGACCTCATGATCCTCCTGCCTCGGCCTCCCAAGGTGCTGGGTCACTGCACCCGGCCCCCGCCCAAATTTCATGTTGAACTGTAGCTCCTATACTTCCTATATGTTGTGGGAGGGACCAGTGGGAGGAAGTTGAACTGTTATCATTATAGATAACAGAAGGCCAGTATATTAGTCTGTTTTGTGTTGCTATAAAGAAATATCTAAGGCTGGGTAGCTTATTTTTTGTTTTGGTGCATAGTTCTGCAGACTATACAGGAAGCATAGTGCCGGTGTCCGCTTCTGTGAAAGCCTCAGGGAGCTTACAATCATGCCAGAGGCAGAGGGGGAGCAGGTGCCTCACATGATGAGAGGGGGAGCAAGAGAGAGTGGGGAGGTGCCGGGCTCTTCTAAGCAACCGGGTCTCATGTGAACTCTTTGTAAGAGCTCACTGCTGCAGGGAGGGCACCAAGCCATTGGTGAGGGATCACCCCCATGTCCAGACACCTCCCGCCAGGCCCCTCCTCCAGCGTCAGGGATCACACTTCAGCAGGAGAGCTGCAGAGCACAAACATCTGAACTATCAGCAAGCTCTGGACAAAGGTAAGACACATTCGGGTTGACCCGTTTCCATTTTGTTGTTCATATCCCCTCTTCTAACCCAACAGACATCAGCCCAGGTCTCATTTTTTCTTGATCAGATTGGGGTTTTATTTTAAACCAGGCTCATGTTACCCGCCACAAGGAAAATATCCCCACTATCACCAATGGCCAAGATTTTCTGAATTCTGTTTCACACTTGCACGTTGCATTCTTACTGGGGCTGTTCTGCCCTTTATAAGAGGTGGGCGTCCGTAGTGGGGCACCCACTGTTAGAGCAGCTGCCTCCTCAGTCCTGGCTGCGGCAGCAGGTGTCTCCTTCATCTTACGCCCATACCCCGCCTCCCTAGGCTTTCTACACAGGGACCTTAAGTTGAAACCTACAGTGTCCTTGCAATCAAAGCTTTCTGTCTTTCCTGAGGTTCACTGATGTTACTGATTCTATACTCTTTCGTGGCGTTTTAATTTATGATAGTGTAAGGTGTTAGGAGTCCCCCAAAACATTTATATTCTGAGAGGTTGTTCCCAAATATGGAAACGTGTTCAACTCACAATATACATTTCTAATGGAGAATTTACCCCTTTGGCAGGCAGGTGCTTTCAAAGAGGAGTGCGTGTGTGGCTCTGCAGCCCCGGGTCTGCCCTTGTCTACTTCACTTCTCTATTTGTTATCTGACCATTTACCACCCATTCTGAATAGATCTGACAGCAATGCCGGGGAAGAGACATTGTGTATTTTACTATATAAATAACGAGAAAAAGCGGGGTTGAAGTCACGCCACAGGCTGGGAGAAACTCTGGAGCATTACGGTGCAGAGCAAGTTGCAGCCTCGAGGAAACGTAGCGAGTAATTTTCCTTTATTTATGATCCTGTTCTTCTCACTACACAGAAGCCAGTTTTCTACCCGATTTGTACTTGGCAGAATTCGACCAGTGTCTGTTAGAAATTTGGCTAAAATTCAAACAAGTCAGATTTTCAAAAGCAACGTGAGGCTCAACTGTTGAGCTTTTGCATTTCCTTCTTCGCTTGCTGTATTTCCTTCTCCGCTGCAAGTTCTGCAAACAGGTGAAGATAATGTATTTTGTATGGCCTGGTTTTGTTTCCATATGAAACACTGTAGACTTATTTGAAATTACAGTTTGAATATTTAAAAAAATCAGTAGAAGCTAAGAAGTACTAGATAACATTCAAAGTCCCTTTGAAATAAGAAGAAAGGCTTAGAAAAATCTAAAAGTAAAATATTTATTTTTCTTGACTGACATTTCAACAACCGTCATTTTTATTTTTTGCTTTTAATAAAAAATTATCATAATAATATGAGAATAAAGTTAAACTAATGGTATTATTATTAGATATTCATTTAATACTCCCTCACTGCAATGCCACCCGGAGTCCCACCTGAGTCCCACCCCGAGTCCCACCCCGAGTCCCACCCCGAGTCCCACCCCGAGTCCCACCCCGAGTCCCACCTGAGTCCCACCCCGAGTCCCACCCCGAGTCCCACCTGAGTCCCACCCCGAGTCCCACCTGAGTCCCGTTGCTCAAAGGCAGCCACTTGCACTTCCGTGTCTCTCTCTGGCATTTGGGAATGCGTCTATTAATAATATACATTTAATGCGATTTTCCGTTGAGTAATTTAGACGTTTAACCATTGTGGGCATTTTGCTAACCTGTTCCAATGGATAGAAATTCAACTCTGTGATAGAAATTCAAAGAGAAAAAGACAAATCATCTAGCCATGAGTTAGATTTGTTGAACCATAAAATTTCAGCGTTAGATTGGATTTTCCGTTTTTTCTAGTTCAGCCAGTCATCTAATGCCAGAATTTTCTCTAATCACTCTTTTTCAGAGGACGCTGACTTCTGCACGAACCCCTCCAGTTTCGGTGAAATACTTCTCAAGGTGGTCCGTTGTCCTTTTCACGATTCTACAGCAGACTCTCTCTCCTTCTTTCTCACTGTCTCTCTCTCCCCCACCATCCCTCAGATAGAAAATCTGTGTTCTTGGGACTTCTCCCTTTTGATCTAGAATTCCACATGGAATCACTACTGTTCTGCCTGAGAGATCTGTAAATATTTTAAAGACAATATTAGTCTCTGTCTTTGGTTTTCTTTTCAATGTTATCATAAATTCTGAATATGAACGTATGTCAAGTTCTCTCTCCATCTTTAATGCTACACCTAAATGTTTTAAGTTTCTTGATGTCACCTTTAAAGTGTGGCGTTTAGAGTGAAACGCAAAAACTAGTATGTCAGTGAGTGTTTCCCCCTTTCTTTTCTCGCTCACAGATGATTGGGGGGAAGCTGCATCGCAGTAATCCCTTATATTGAACTTGTATGTAACTAAAACCCTTTATAGAGTTGTTGCTATTTTTAACCTGAGTCTCGACTCTTTTATGCTGAATTCTTGAACTTGGTGTTTTAGACCCAAGAACAGTGCCAAATATTTTACCTTTGTCACATTTTCTTTCTAGTTAGATCTGATAAGCTGTTAAATTTAAGAATTTTTTGGGCCAGGCGCGGTGGCTCAAGCCTGTAATCCCAGCACTTTGGGAAGCCAAGGCAGGTGGATCACGAGGTCAACAGATCGAGACCATCCTGGTCAACATGGTGAAACCCCGTCTCTACTAAAAATACAAAAAAATTAGCTGGGCATGGTGGCATGTGCCTGTAATCCCAGCTACTCGGGAGGCTGGGGCAGGAGAATTGCCTGAACCCAGGGGGTGGAGGTTGCAGTGAGCCGAGATCGCGCCATTGCACTCCAGCCTGGGTAACAAGAGCGAAACTCCAACTCAAAAAAAAAAAAAAAAGAATTTTTTGAATACTGATTCTCTTCTATTTTATATTTCTGGATATGTCCATATTTGTTTCAACTAAAAATGTCCCAAGCCTGCCATTGCTACCATTTCCTTAGCCATTAATAAAGACTGGTAGCCAGAAGGGATTGAGGACATCTCCTGTCCAGGTTGACACCGATTATTGATCAACAATTTTGAAAGATGGATTGTGTACAAGTTACAATATGTTTGATATATTTTTAAAAAATACTCAGAATGCCCAAGAAACTAGGAAAATTAATACTAGATAACTTTCCCAAATGTTGACATAAGAAAAAATTGGCTGGGCATAGTGGCTCATGCCTGTAATCCCAGTACTTTGGGAGGCCGAGGCAGGCAGATCATGAGATCAGGAGTTCGAGACCAGCCTGACCAAAGTGGTGAAATCCCATCTCTACTAAAAATACTAAAATTAGCTGGGTGCGGTGGTGCATGCCTGTAATCTCAGCTACTCGGAAGGCTGAGGCAGGAGAATTGCTTGAAGTCAGGAGTGGATGTTGCAGCGAGCCGAGACTGTGCCACTGCACTGTAGCCTGGGCAACAGAGAGAGACTCCATCTGAAAAAAAAGAGATCGACAAAAAAAAAGAAAAAATTGCACCTGAGAAAGCATTATTAATATATTTTTAAACCAATTTATTTTAAAAATTATGGTGGATAACTAGCAATTTTCTATTGGTTCTGAGAAAAATGAATCAAAGCAGAAAACCTACTCACATTACCACAGATGTTTTGATTCAGCCATAAACCTTTGGAGGATAATGACCTTGTTTTGCCCTGTGTGCTGGGCAGAGGGAGGCCGGGACCAAGGGCTGGAAGGAACCCCACGGTGGTGTTCTTTTCCCTTTTTCTAACAAAAAGTTAAGAGATGCATGATCAGTCAAATAACCAGCGTATAACTGCATTTGGAAGAAAGTGAGCAGATGCTGTGTTGTTAGGGAATTGTTGCTGAATGAGTGCAAAATATGAATTTCCAGAAAGTTCTCATGAAGGTAATAACCGATTTCATTGGCAAGGAGATTCTCAGTCTCTGCGAAGTCATCATTACCAAATTTTGAGAATTTAATATGGAGTCAATGAATGCATTGGGGTGTTTCTTTCTTCCTTCTATTTCAGGTACTAGTCTCATCTTTTCCCAGAAATGAAGGATGGTCAGACTATCTGGGATTACAAGCAGAGAGCGAAAATGTCCCTTTAACCCGAGGACACTGCAGGAAAGGTCCTTCTTCCCCTTGGGCATTTTCCTCACGATTGCTTTAGCCCGGCCCTCAGGCTATGGAGTTCTCCTTTCCATTCTGTGAATACACTGGAACTGAAAATAAGATTTGGAATAAACGTGTATTTATCAACAAAACAAATATTTCATCGCTTGCTAATTATTAGTAATTTGTATTGGTTAGTTCTTGAAGGGAAATTACCTAGAAATGTAAGGATTTATGAATACTGAAAAACATAGACTATCATTTCTTTTAATGTGTCCCTTTAGCCAACTTCAGGAATACAAAGCTGAGTGGTTTCACCTCCCTTCAGTTTTGAGACGTGATTTCAGCTCTGTCCGGGTTGATGACAGAAAGTCACATTCAAATCTCTTGATATCATATCTAAAAATCCTGCTTTATGGCTTGGCATGGTGGCTCACGCTGTAATCCCAGCACTTTGGGAGGCCGAGGTAGGCGGATCACCTGAGGTTGGGAGTTCAAGACCAGCTGATCAACATGGAGAAATCCAGTCTCTACTAAAAACACAAAATTAGCTGGGCGTGGTGGGCCAGCCTGTAATCCTAGCTACTCGGGATGTTGATGTAGGAGAATTGCTTGAACCTTTGAGGCAGAGGTTGTGGTGAGCCAAGATTGTGCCATTGCACTCCAGTCTGGGCCAAAAAAAAATCCTGATTTATTAGAGAAACCTCCAGAGGAAAACAGCATTTGAGACTTGGTGTGTGGTTAATTGGACAGGGGATGTGGATCTGAGGGAGAGCTGAGTATTTGTACCAGCAAAGGGACAGAAAGGGGAATTTCGAGTATCAAAAAAAAAAAAAACAATAGGTGATTAAACCTATTGAAAAAAACATAGGGATATGAATTGCCTTGTAAAAAAAAATCTGTATTGAGAAAGAGAGTAGGAAAAAACATTAGTTAAGGAATGCTTTCAAGACAAAGTGAGTACTCAACAGGAAAAGGGAATAAAAGGTTTGTTGAGTGTTCCCAGCACAAAGAAATGATGAATGTTTGAGATAATGGAAATACCGATGACCCTGATCTAATCACCACACGTAAGTATTGAGACATCACTATGGGCCCCATCAATATTTGTCAATTTAAAAACATTTAGAGTCTCACAGAACAAAAACGGCACTATTATGTGACGATATACTACCCAAATACAGAACTGATCAGAAATATTACCAGAAGACATGGCTTCAAATAAATAGAAATCGTTTTCTAAAATGTAGACTTCGGGCAGCAGAACCCTGCAGATTGACAGAAAACCTTCTTTTTCCCGAAGAGAAGACAATTTCCAAATAAACACAGTGTCCCTAATGCTTTGTAAACCGGCGGGCGGCTCTTACGCTGTCAGCAAATTTAATTCCAGTCCCCCCTCCTCACCTTTCACCCAAAGCCTTTAGAGAATGTTGCTGGGGTCAGCCTTGGAAGACGCCTCCATTTGAAGCAATCTGCAGTCTCCACGCGATGTCCTGCTTTCTCCTTTTGGTGACTGCCCCAGCGCAGAGCTGCTGCCTCGGAGGCAATCCAGCTGTCCAAAGCCATGTTAGCTTGGTGCTTGCAGAGATGCCTGTTTCTCTCTAACGCTTAAGAGAAAAATGCGTCTGTAGCTCGCAATGAAACCAAGTGGAAATCGTAGCCAAGTCCTACAACTTTCTGTGCTGCGGAGATCACAGATCCATTTGGAAAAATAGAAACGGCATTAGATCGGGTTCTAGCTTTAGTATTTATGAAAAAGCTCTCAGAGGTGACTGTGCAGCTGAACTCTACGCTGAACCTGTAGAAAGGGTTTATAAAATAGACGTGTAAGTTCATGTGATAAAGATTATTTGATAATGATAAAAATTCAATGGGCATTCAAATATAAACTTAAAAACACGGTATTTTCTCTTGTACTCTAATCCTACAGTGCGGTAACAATTTGTTTTTATTTCCTTCTGAAACCTTTATGGAAACCCTAAGTCAGCTGTTTAACATCTGATACTGAAAACCTTAAGTAGGAATAAAATTAAGTATTTATATTTAAGTAGAGCTGATACTTTAAACATTTTTTTACATACAAGTTTTTAATTATGATTTGCTTGGTATATCCTGGGTTCTACAATCATAGAAGAAATGACCTCACTGCACCGTCTCTAAGAGAAAAGCCCAGAGTTGGCCGTTCCCGGCTTATCTTTCAAGACAACAGAAAAGCTATTTTGAAAAATGAGTTATCTGAGAAAATAAAATATAACATTTTTTAGAACCTGCGGTTCTCAAAACAGTTTGCTCTTTGGAGAATATGAACCACTTAGGTTCCAAGCACTGGGAAGAAGTGAAAACGATTCAGCTATTGGATAAACATTTTAGAAGGCGCTTTACCTTGTTAAACTCAGGACTCGCTGTGATCCTATGTCACGTCGCGAACAAGCTGAACATCAAGAGGTGTTCTAAGCAGCGAATAATTGTAAACGATGTGCGAATACTGTCTTTTTTTTATTTCTTACGGAAATCAGGAGGAACAATTGCAAGGGAATATAAAATGACCTTCTTCAAATCGTTGGACTCAGAAACACAGAGACGAGGACTGCTCACACGCAGGGCCCAACAGAGCTCACTGCGTGCAAAGCTAACGAAGACAGGGGCTGACTGTGGAGTCGTGTTGCCTCCTGCAGCTGAGAGAATTTGGACCCAAGTGTCAAATGACTGCTTCTGAGAGGAGTGTAAATGGCGAATGTGGCAGGGAGCTAGTGGCATGGCTCAGAAGGAATCTGCAGAGCTGGTAAACATCCTTTTCCCCAGTAAGATATGTAGTGTGGTGCGTGTAGGAAGCTTCGTAGACTCCAGAAAAATTCAAGGAACGAAACATGAATTCTTCTGTCAGTAAGTCCAAGGCCACCTGGACTATTTCATGCAGAAATACCACATTTATACCAAGTATCATTTCATCATCTACAAATTAGGTTTGCATTGTGTTGTTTTTAATCTTCAAAGCAATCTTGAGAAGAAAATCCTTGAGAGTTGAAGGACATTTAAGTGACTTGGTAAATTCATGTGGAAGACGGTAAAGAATTAGTGTCGATGCCGTGACTTCCTTAATGACTTTTCTTAAAGTTAAAGGCAGTGTCTGTAATACTTATCCTTTTGAGCTAAAATCATAAAATCAACCAGTAGAATGATAAAATATGTACTAGTGTATCTAAATGTATCAAGCTCTGCAAAACCCTACTGTCAAGCAGTAGCTTGGAGAGGTCAGAAAGTCCCCGAGCTTGCACCTTCTTGAGGAGAGGAGAGGAGAGGGAGAAGAGAGGGGAGGGAAGGGGAGGGGAGAGGAGAGGAGAGGAGGGGAGGGGAGGGGAGGGGAGGAGATGGGCGAGTAGGAGAGGGGAGGGCAAGAGAGGAGTGGGGAGGGGAGAGGGGAGGAGAGGGGAGGGGAGGGGAGGGGAGGGGAGGGGAGGGGAGGGCACTTTAGCATGAAGCCTCTGGATGCTCAAATTCTGCTGGGAATTTTGGCAGTGTTATGGAAGGTCTATCACACTCTTGAAGATAGGCTTTCACCATGCACCGAGCATGGCTTAGTCTGGACGGGTTCATCTGGACCCAACTCTAGCCAGCTCCAGTGTGTCTCATGGTCTGGTGTGGGCCTCCAGAGCCAGCCCCATCCACAATTTGATAATATTGCACTGCTTCCTTACAGAGGTCAAGATTGCAAACCCCAAGGCGAGAAACTGAAAAAGTAATGGAACCTTTAAGCCCCAGCATCTTATGTTTCTACAGCAGAAACTGGTGGCTCCTGCAGGCCTCTGCAGCCACCTCAGGGGCTTTCTGCTCTTCTCAAGAGCAAGAGAAGCAGAGGGTGAGAATGGTATCCACTGCAAATACCCATAGGGTATGTGTGAGTGTAAGATGGAAGTTGAGAGAAAGGACATGAGCTCAAATGCTATGTTTTACACAAACAAATGTTTAACATTAGGAATTGTGTATTAATTAAAAGACTAATTCTTTTTTGTAATAGCTTGGAGCTCAATAAAAAAAATACAAGCAAGAAATGATGAGTACGTTAGTACATTATGGCCAGAAGAAGAGGGAGGAAGAATACAGTGCGACTCCTAATGGGTATGAGATTTGTCTTTCTTTCCTGTCTTGTCTTTTTGAAACAGGATCTCGCCCTGTCACCCAGGTTGAAGTGTGGTGGTGCACCCATGGCTCTGTGCAGCCTCCACCTCTTGGGATTAAGTAATCCTCCATGTCAGGCCATTCAAGTATCTGGGACTGCAGGTGCACACCACTATGCCCAGCTGATTATTTACTGATTTATTTCTTGTAGAGGCAGTCTCACTGTGTTGCCCAGGCTGGTCTTGAATTGCTGGGAGCAAGCGATCGCCCTGCCTTGGCCTCCTGAAGTGCTGGAGTTACGGGTGTGAGCCACTGCAGCCAGTCTGGTTATGATACTTCTTTTGGCAATGATGAAAATGTTCTAAAATTAAGTAATGGATGCATAATTCTGTCTGTGGACTAAAAACCCTTGTTTCCCACTTTAAGCTAGTTGGTGTACTTTATGATATGGAAAGTTCATCTCAGTGAAGCTGTTTTAAAAAGAAAGATAGGACTTTTTTTTTCTGAAGCAAGCCAGGGTAAGGCATATACAAAGTATGTTGTTCTCTTTATCTCTGCCTTGCCTTTTAAATCTCATCCGGTCTTGTCATCCATTATGTCTGAGTCATAGTTCGATCCCCCATCCAGTTTCTGTCCAGTACTGACGGTCCCTGAGTAATGATGTTTCAAAGTATGATTTTTTAGGCCTTGTGATGGTGAGAAAGTGATACACGTTAAGTAGAAATCATGCTTCCAGGACCCACACAACCTTTTTTCACTAACATTTCACTTCCAGTACAATGTTAAGTAAATTACGTGAGATATTCGGCACTTCATTATAACATAGACTTTGCGTTCCATGATTTTGCCTACAGGTCGGCTAGTGTGAGTGTGCTGAGCTACGATGTGGCAGGCTAGTGTAGGGAACGAATTTTGAACTTGGTGATATTTTCAAGTAGTGCGATGGATTTATCAGGATGTAACCCCATTGTAAGTCGAACAGCGTCTGGACTTACACATAAATAATAGTATGCGTTT